TCAGCATGTCATATAGCACTATTATATATGGACTGCCTTTCCAGATATTGGTAAGGAAAAGCCCAACTAAAGTTTACAGAAAAAAAGAAAAACCCTTAATTTGGTTTGTATTCAGACAATAACAATCCAAACAAGCACACAAACAAGCTAAAACTTACAGTTGAAATACTTAATAAAGAGCAAATGAAATAGAGGTTTAGGACCATAGCAATTTTCACTGATTGTTTCCAACAAGGTGATTCTGTGAATGAGTGTATTCACAGTGTATATCACCAAATATATAAGCTTAGAAAATTGAAAAGAAAAAGAAAGATAAGTTCTTACTGTATCATAGAATGCGCACTGTATGGCCATGTGCATATTTTGTTATATCAATATGGCTATGTAAGATGATAACCAAAATATCAGCCTGGTTTAGTATATGTCAAATGTGATGGGAAGAAGCCCCATCACCTGTTTGGATAGGAATGAAAAGCCTCAGAAATAACATTGAGTCTTATAATCTGCAGCTCCTTTAGGCAAAGAGTACATAACATCTACATCTTAGTGACCTTTGTATCCTTGACTTTGTATAAAGTTTTCCAAGTTGTAAGAATTAGAAAGCTGTAGGGTTGAGTTGGTCCTTGGAAAAGCTGCTACGAATGACCTTGGTTCTCACCTGCAGTGCTTTCTTTCCAAACGGACACTGTGACAGCCCTGTGGCTGCTCTGCTGGAAGATGAATGAACAGCCATTCTGAAGTAACCGAAAAGGAGCCATTTCATTTTATTTCTCTTTGTTTAAACTACAGAAAATTTGATTTCTAGCTTTTAGTTTTCAAAAAAGAGTAAAAAAAATCAAATCTGGAAATATAGTAGCTAATAAAAAACAAGTGTATATAAAACATATGAAATCAGAAATGAACCTAAGTTGATTACCAACAAGTTAAGAGATTTGTAAACATCACATATTTCTACATAGCTATTTGTTAAGGTGATGCAAGTGGTATTTGAACCAAATAAGTTTAAATTTAGCAAATTTAAATGTATATTCAAATGTGGCTTATCTGTGTAGTATGTTAGTGAATGTTGGTTTGTGTTAATGAATCTGTATAAGCTACTTTTAATTGAAATTGATTCAGTGTTAAAAGATGATTTTTAAATAGGTAGCTATGTACAAAATTATGATAAAAATTGACTTCAAAAACCAGTGGCATATCAATGTGGATCATGCTGTCTGACTGAGTGCCAGGAAGCCAGTTTTAATAACTGAACAGCTGAAATGCAACTAGTCCTAACTGAGAAGTGTAGCAAATATAGAAAGCAAATATGTCAGATTTAGAAAATTCAGTGTAAAGGCAAAGAGTGGATGCTATCTCATCAATTATTTCACATCTATTATATGCTGAAAATATTTTAAATTCTTTATATTGAAAAATGTGTTAGAATCATTGTCACTTGTTTTTCCTCTCATTTTTTAAACATGGCTGCACAAATATTTTAAAATTGTGTTTGTGCCTCTTATGTGTGATTTGTCTTATAGTTTTGCATTCATTAATACAGAATGTATCTCTATACACAAAAGAAAAATCCTGGATTTCTAAGATAAACATGAGGCAGGTATATATGCATTTTCTATTGCTACTGTAATAAATTTCTAAGATCAGAGTAGTTCATCAAAACACTAGTCTATTATCTTGACAACTAGAGAGTTCAGAAGTGCAAAGTGGATCCCAGCGGGTTAAGATCAGTGTCTTGGCAAGGCTACATTTCTTTCTGAGCCGTGAAGGCAGACTCTTTCCTTCTTGACCTGTCCAGCTTCTTTTGTTACTTGTTCCTCTCCTCCATCTTCAAATCGATGCTGACTGAAGGACCAGTAACACTGACTTTCTCCCTGATTCTCTGCCTCCCAGTTCCACTTATGGAGACTGTGGTTCCAGTGAGTCCGCATACATGGACATACAAACCAGGATCATCTGCCCATTTTAAATGTAGTTGATGTGCTACATTAAGCTCTCACTTATCTATGACTCAACAGAATCACAGATTTCTGGAACTAGGATATAGGCAGTTTTAGGAAGCCGTTATTCTGTCCAACATGGTGTTTATGTACATTTACCTTAATATTTAGTTACATGAAAAACATTTTTCTATCTAGCATTATCATGATCACCTATATCTACCCGTGGTCTGTATTTCAATCTATCATCTGTGTGTCTTCTCTCCTTGACAAGAAAATGGTGTTTCTCTTCAGATCCTTCCCTTGTTCCCCTGTGGTAGGTAATTTTTCTTACTGCTAAGTCTTCTGAAAACACCAGAGAGGTTTCATATCTCCTATATAATTAGCCAAAGTGCTTTTGGTGATAACATGGGGGGAAAAAAAAACGAAGTTTTCCGCCAGAATCTGGTAGTTCCAATAATTACAAAATTTCTGTGTGTGGAATTATTTCCTAGATTCCTCTGGTAGATTAATAACAAACACAGCAAACCATGTAGGAAAGAAAACAATGTGAATTGCAGTGGGAGAGCATGTTTTTCAGAATGGATACAATCAGTAGATCTTTAGGGAAAAAGAAAAGGCTTTGAGATAGAGCCAAATAAAGGGAAAAGCTACTTTCCTACTTCTTGGCCCTTCCAAGAGACCTGCTCAGGACTGAAGTTCATCTTGGGACCTGCTGTTGTTAGCGGAAATGTGTGTTCCCCAAACCCCGGAAACTGTAAACACATGGTAGATATTTGCAGCAACTTCATATCTTGGTGGATATGGGGAAAAGTTGGTTTTATTTTAACCTAATATGCTATGGCATGAGAATTGGAAAATCATAGTTTTTATTATATTGGTAGATAACCATATTTAATTATGTGATGGTTCATGGTACTATCTTAGAAGTCACAATTTTAGAAACAAAAAAAATCACTGATTTTGTAAAGCCAACTATTCATTTTTTTTCAAGTTACATCCATCTTTTAAGATATCATACTCTGAATTCCTGTGTTTCAGTTGTTTTCTGATTTTTAGTAATGATAATGATTTAACCAGACTTAGGAAAACTGTTCATTTAGCCTGTCTGGTGTATACAGCTAGTTTGGATTCTAATTGCCAAGCAGCATGGCAATAAACTCAGTGAACCCTAAACACAGAGATTCAAACACAGCCTAGGCATTCTCTTTGTTTCTTTTCTTTTTCAGTTTGGTTTTTTGGCATACTGATACAATGAAAACTACTGCCTATTTGAAAGCTTTGCGTCATTTCTAGACAGGCGATTTTTTTATAAAAAATTTGTATGTAAGAAAATTTATGTAAGAAAAAGTGATTTTTGATCTAAAATTATTTAATCAGAATTTCAACCCTAGGTTAAATGTATTTTTGTGAGCTTTTAGGAAGCATTAGCTATCAGACATGTGTTCTCAAAATTTAGATTTTAATGCTCAGCAAGGTAGCCTGGTGGCTAAAGTCCTTGCCTCAAACTCGATATGGATGCTGCTTCTAATCCTGGCAGCTCTGCTTCCCATCCAGCTCCATGTTTGTGGCCTGGGAAAGCAGTCGAGGATGGCTCAAAGCTTTGGGACTTTGCACCCATGTGGGAGATTCAGTAGAAGCTCCTGGCTTCTCGATCTGAATCAGCTCAGTTCTGGCCATTGTGGCCACTTGGGGAATGAATCAAAAGATGGAATATCTTCCTCTCTGTCTCTTCTCCTCCTTTATGTATATCTGTCTTTTAAACGAAAATAAATCTTTAAAAATATTAAATTTTAAAATATGTCTTTAATATTAGAATGTAGATGTATGTAGCATAGTAAATTGTGATTATCCATGTAGCAAATGAAATGCAAAATCCTTAAAACTCCGGGTGATGATGTCTAATCCTTGGATTTGTTGTTCAGGCAAAGTAAATATTATATTTAAGTACAAAAGATACACAAAATTAATTGTCGACTGATTTACATATTTGTATCCTAGAGGCATAATTCCACAGACTTTTTTTCCCCTAAAATAATACAAAAAATATTCAACCCTTTCCTCAGCATAGCTCCATATTAGTGTAGCATGTTGGAGGTGACAATATATTCTGAATAATATATTCATAATCAAGAGATTTTAAAATAACACTTCAAGAAAATTCAGAGACTAAACAAATGAACTCTTTTTGTCCTTTTTGTTTTTGTTTTGGGGTGGAAAAATATTAAGTGCCAAAAGTTGTCTTTTTTGTGTGAGTGTCTAGATTTAGGGAAAAGGACATGAACCTCTAATGGGCCAAAAAATAATAACTAAGTAAAATAGAAGGAGTTAGATAGATGAGCTGAGCAGAATAGGAAATTCAGGTAGGCAATTATGAACTTTGCCGGGGGGTGTCTGAACTTAGCTTTCGAGGAAATGACCTTGGGATAGACTTTGAAAGATTGAAAGAGGTGGGCAGACTGAGATCACACTGAATACTATATAGAAAGGAAAGAGTCTGGTTAATCTAAACAGCGTTTTAGATGGATGCTATGAACTGGAGATGATCATTTGGATTGTTGGGCAGTGGGACAAAATGGAAAAATTTAAAGAGGTCAGATGTAGCTGGGTGACCTTATAAATCCACACTTTTGCTTACTAAAATTGTGCAGGATAAACAGGAATGTCCAGTGAGAAGAGTAATAATTTAAATGTTGATGCTCCCAGCAGAGTATAGTCAAAATAAGAGAACAACATTCACATCCCAGAGACACAGTAAAAGAAGGTGACACAATGTTCCTTATCAAAAATACCATCTTTGGATTAGAAGCATTCAAATCTAACCAGGTAACATATCAAGATTTCTGGTAATCTCAACTCATCCTAGAACTTTGGATCAAAACTCTGAGTGAGGTCTAGAAGTCTGCTTTAGCAAACCCTCTGGGGAATCCAAATCCTACTGATATTTGAAGATCATTACCTTAGAGGCATATTTCCAGAATGCAAAGCCAGAATTGAAGAGTGGATTGGATTAGAGGATAAAGCGTATGAAATGATTAAGAACAGCTAAATTTTACATTGCAGGCACCCAACTGGAGAGTGGTGTCATTAAATGGGATTGGATATATATGGGAGGAGGTAAGTTACCCACCCCCTCAAAATGGATGCTTTTAAACATATGTAGTTGACTAAGAAGTTGTGATGGCAAGATTATATATTTAGGGTCAAAACACTGGGAATTTGTCTTTATTATATCATTATATGCTGTAATTTTAGCCACGTTAGCCTATTTGTGTGCTTGTAGCTTGTCACTACGGGATCTGGAAAGAGTCTGGGACACAGAATGTGTGATGCAGCAGAAATAATCTTTAGCATTGTGGTCAGAAGAACTGAATTAACACTTGTGGTCTGTAATATCTACCTCACTGCATCATCATGAGCTTTATTCTCATTACCTTTGTGAAGTCATTTAATTTTTATGAGATTGGGGTTTCTGTTAGTTGCTAAACTTTTTTGTGTGTGTCCTCGTTGAATCAAGACAATGGAGATAGTGTCGTTCATAATTATTGTGAGAAAACAGCCAGTGTGATAATAGCATAATCAGTGGAAAGTGGAAGGGCTTAAAAGGTGTTGTCTTTGTTGGCCTTTCCTGTTTTGCGTTGTTCAAAAATTTCATGATAAATTAATGAATTTGTGCAAGAGATTGATAGAAAGTGAGGAAATATTTCTTAGGATATTCCTAAATGTGCAAGGGAAATAGACAAAATAGTTATCTGGAAATTGACTAAATAAAACATTTGTTATGTGATCTCATATATTTAACATTCTAGAGAGAAAATTCTTGAGCAATGTATTCAAACATACTAATAAGGGTTTGTACAAAAATATGAATAATGTTCTTTGCGAAAGACAAGGGACCAAATGACATATTGCATTCAAATATAAAATAGCAATGCACTGTAATGTTTTACTATCAGCTACAGCAATTAATGCAGATGATTCTAATTAAAAGTAAATTTAGAGAGCGATTAGTTTCTCTCACCATTGTTAGAGAGAATTGATTCGTCTATAGATCTAATATGTTAACGTAAGAAGTTAATGATATATTGATGTATTTTAAAGTACCTAATTTAGATTATAATTCCAGGAAAAGCATTTGTGTTGATTCTGAATATTAGATGACAAAAGTTTTCTCTAGGAAAAGGAATTACACCATTTGTGCAACCCTAGAGCAAAGAACATGTTGTTGTTTCAAATAAATTATTGTGTATGGCTATATAATCTCAATTGTAGTTTTATAAAATTTATAATACAAGAGCTCTGTTGCACAAGTACTCATTTGTATGGCAGTATACAGCTGCGTGAGGCATAATGACTTTATTGAACAAGATTATGTACTGCACAACTTGCTGCAAAAATTGTGTTGGCCCATTTGGATTTGCTTTGCAATTGAGAAGGCTGAAGTGGGCAAAGATTTTGCAAAATTATGGAAATCAGCAGCTAATCTCAGCTGTCAACTTTAACATTTAGTAAATAAGGTCACCGGGGGCTAAGAGATTGAAGGATGTCATTTTCATGTGCAAGAGGAGTTCTTGTTGGAAAGAAAAGCTATTTTCACTATTTGGGAGAGCATCACATAAAGGTACACAGCTAGAACAGGTCTGACTGTGTGCACTTTCACTTACCATGCTCCTACATTTTTGTAACCTCATCACAGCAAACCAATTGAGTTTTAAATAGACTCTTGCATTACAGCAACATAGGCACTTAAAAGATTTGTTCATCTTGCAGAATTATTTCCTGTGAGTTCAAGTTTGACAAACATTATATAAGTTTTCATTGAGTTGTGTGTTGCTTATGAACAAAAACAGCGAAAATATTTAAGTAGTGGGTAAAGGAGAGTGTACAGTCATTGCTTCCTTCTAACATCTTCCCTTATACTTTTCTTGTAACTCTCCATCCATTTCCTTTGCATGTTTTCTGTCATGCTTCCCAAACCATGTGATACAAAAGAAAGAAAAAGAAAAAGAAAATGAAGTATCATATGCTCAATCTGTGTAAAATCCAGCAAGATTGAGTGTCCCCTAAGACACTGTTATGTTACAAAATTATTGTTCTTCTTTGCTTTAACATAAAACAGGAAAAGGTGAAGTGCTATTATCCTCAACGTTAACTACTCTTTGTCACATGCTGTTTATTTTTTTCTACTTGGGTCTTTGTATATCCACACAGATATGCATACATTTGTAAAGAGAGCGATATTTTGAAAACATGTATTAATTAGATGATAGAACTAGTACCATGGGCAAGGTGATACAAGACAATTGTGTTGATGAAAGTAACATTTCTAATAGGATTAATCCCAGTCTTAATCTTGTTTTTAAGACATTATAGTATGTCTTGGCTAGATATTAAAGCACTGATAACAAAAGCCTCATGAGTAAAACAAAACTAAAAAGCATAAACTATCCCAGAGCTTGACACATACATGCTCATTAAAAAACATTAAATTAGGCAAAACTATATAATGTATTTTAATTTTAAAGCCATAAAATAAATAGACAAACATTCTGCATATTTTGATAGGAGTGCTAAAATAGCCCTATTATGTAAATTATTATTATGTAACCTATGTATTAATTGTTTCATAAGAAACATTAAGTGCATTGTTAAAAGCACACAGTAAGATTGATAAGAACATGTACAATCAATACTTACATTCATATATGTTTTTTTAATTATATTAGCCATCACCTTTTAATTGTATGTTTTGTTTACATATATAGTTATACATCCAATGTATCTGATGATCATTGTAAAAACCACCAGACACGCAGCTTACAACAAGCTTATGAATTTAGATTTGTAATTTAAAATGACATTTTAAAACATCTCTACTAACAGAATCAGTAAATCATGAGCTGAAGAGTGACTGAGTTAAAAATGAATATAGACAAAGTGGTTGGAATGACACTTTCGTTATTTTTGCCTTTGTTTGGAATAGTTAATGTAAGTGAAGGAAGAAACCCAATAATCTTTACCCTTAACTATGAAATCAACTGTGCAAATATTTTCTTGGAAAGTACAATATAGAAGCCCAACCAACCAGTTATAAACAATAACAAAACAGCAAAAACATTGTTTAGGATACATTATTTAAACTAAGTATAAGTTCCTAAAAATAATAAGGATGCTAAGCCAAATACATTGACGATACTTTCCTTTTCATGCATGAAGCAAACAGATTTGCTGTCACAAATAGCCACAGCATACAGGCCCTCACCACTTCCACTCATTCTGTTAATCTTTTTTTTTTTTCCAATTAATTGAGAATTGTCAACATGCTTATACATATTTGAAAAATACTAAAACAATATAGAGTAATCTTTAGCCGATACCAACAACAATATGCGATGGTTGGATCTTATTCTGAGGAGATATGGTGAAATGACGAGTGTGCAGATATCATGTTCCACTAAAAGTTCATATTCACAGTTGTAAACAGAAATAGTGCTCCTATTTGAGACAGTGTACACTATTTCCTAGCAACTAATAGCCCAGCAGTTTCTCTGCACCATTCAAAGCACTTGAAGCTATTTAATGTAGACTAGTTTTTATTAAGAGAATTGGCCTAAATAAGCTTGCTAAAGTTATAGGTTCTACCTAGATGACTCTGTAGTATAGAGCATAAGACATTTTGCAATGATGCTGCAACATTAGTCTCTGCTGCATGACTTGAGCAGGAAGAGAAAGATAATTCAGGAAAATGTGAAATGCTCAGTATAAGCCAATAACAAAACTTCACTTAACTGGGATATTTTCTTTAAATAAAACTATGCTTTAGTAATTAATGCAAATTATCCTGACATTTTGGTATGAAATTATTATTCCTTGAGGTATTCTTCACTCAAGTTAATAGAAAAATCAAGGCAGAGAACGATGTATGTGTCTGATACACTGATTCTGTCTACAGTTATAGCCCCAAATATTTTGACATGTGCATTCCTGTAATATCTGAAGATCTTTTCCATTTATAACCATCCCTCCCCTGCTGAGATCATGGCTTGTGCTCATGCCAGCCGTTGCCTCTCTCTTAGAGGTCACAAGAACGTAATTTATCTGTTTTAATTAATCTAAACCTTGGCTCTAAGTAGATTTTTTTCTTAAACTTTAATAATTCCACAGAAAAGTGAATCACTTTAATCACTGCTTTCACATCATTCATTCATAGGCAGGATTGTGAAAAAGGCACAGCGATCTAGAACATAAACTCAGGCTTGCTGAACATTTCTTTCAGGATGTTTGCCAACTGCTTATTTGTTTTAAGCCTTTGGAGCATTTCTCTCCTTCAGCATCATGCTTTCCTGTAAACACATTGCCTTTGGACTCGTGTGTGTGTGTGTGTGTGTGTGTGTGTGTGTGTGTGTGTGTGTGTTACAATCTTTCCAATGGGAGGATTTTGTTTCTGTTGACAATGAATATGCTGAAAGTTAATTGAAGTGGTAGCATCTTACTCATTGGGAAATTTTCTCTGCCGGGGGGCACTGGTGTGTGAGTGAATCTCCTCAAATGCAAACATTGCACAAGAAAGCAACATGATCCTCGCCCCCTGCCCCCTGGCCCTGTAGGAGGTACAACCTCTGTCCATCCATTCTAACCCTCACATTTGCACTGCTAATAAAACACACTATACTTATTTCTTCACTTTAAGTGACATTTTATAAATAAAATGTTTTTTTTTTGCCAGCATTAGCATTGTAGACATAACTAGAATCCAACTGTGTTGTAAAAGAAAAATGATGTAATTTTTTCTTTGTGATCAGAAAAGCAAATATGTAAATGTATCAAGGATTCAAAGAACTCATTTGACTGCGTTGAGATTTAACTTCAAGAGGCTGGTGCTGTGGCATAGAGAGTAAAGGTGATGTCTCCATTTCTGGCATTCCATATAATCACCAGTTCAAGTTCCATCTGCTGCACTTTGTTATCCAGCTTGTTGCTAATGTGCAGGGAAATCAGGGAAGATGGCTCAAATTCTCGGGGCCCTTTACCTGCCTGGGAGGCCAGGAAGTAATTCCTGGTTTCTGGCTTTAGACTAGTCCAGTTCTGACCATTGACACCATTTAGGGAGTGAACCA